AACTGTAACAATATGTTCGAATAAACAGACCTGAGGCATGACCTCACCTTAAAAAAAAAAAAAAAAAAAAAAAAAAAAAAAAGTAAATAGTTAGGTTCTAAATACAATTAGGAAATTTACTAAAAATAGACATTAAAGATTGTATTTTTTATAGTATAAAGATATTAATTAGTAGATTTTAGATTTTATAATACATAATATTAACTAATCAAATTAATCAAAAATTTCATATATGAATAACTTATTATTAGTAAAGCTATTAGTGAAAATTTTATTTTTTACTAAATTTTTAAATAATAACTATATTTTATTTAATTATTACTGTCTTTACAATTATTGAATATAATATATATATAATACTATTGAATAATATATCTTATATATTATTAAACAACATATTTTATATATTAAATTATAAATAAATCTACTTTGAATATTTTGTGTGTTTTTTTACAAACTGTTTTCAATACCCTTATGTAGTTATAACTAAATTAAAAATAAATGTTACTATATATAAAATAAACTTAAAAACTTCGAAATACTGACACAAAATTTTAAAGCAATTTTAAATTAACTAACAATAAATCTAAACATTCTATACAAAAGTAAATACCTATTTTTAGCATCTCATTTATTTTTACCCAAAGAGTTTATCATAAGGGATTCTTTGAGATAATAAAAACTAAACATCTTGAACTATATACTCAAAACTTATTTGGTTTTGATAATTATTAAAAAAATTTTTTGAACATGTGACTTTTGAGAGATAATAGGCATGTAAGAGCCAATCAAATTTAAGAATCTACTTGTAGATCGTTCTAGAATACGATTTTCTAATTTGATAAATTCTCTGACTAAAAATATGTAGCCATTAGGGGATTTACTTATTTGTGCTGGTAATACAATCCAAAAAAGAAAATTTGATTTTATAAATAAACAAAGTGTGTAAAACACGTATTTAGAGTTGGAACGTTAATATTAGAGGCTATAGCGATAGACTATCATTCATTATATGTAAAATTTTAGTTTCGACATTTTTTAATTAGTACATCAAGGCTGGTTTAAACACTAGTTTTTGAGTTTTTTTTTCACTTTTTCTTCTTTTACATGCATTCAGAATTCATGTCGAGCTGATCCAGAACGATCAAAATTTGAATTCACTGATTGGCTATTTTCTTTTTAGGAGTTTGTATTACTGGCACAAATAAGTAAAGCCACCATTAGGTAGTACAATAGTTAGTTGATTGGATCCGCACACATGCGCATATGCGCATACTTTGCACACGTGAAAAATAAACACTGATTGGGATATGATATTTATAAAGTATTTTTTATATCGATATATATATATTTTATTTATATTAAAAAGATGAATATATAACTTCATAATTTAAACTGTCAGCGAAGTGATAGGTCACATATTAGTCATGTATTATTTCGCCAAATATACGTAAAAAGTAAAAATGCAATTATTTCCCGAATGTTTCGATAATCTTAGATACCGTGGTAATGAAAAATGCAGGAATGAATTCTTTTTGACAGTCTTTATAGCTTAACCTATCACTTGTGAAATATATAGCTTTTTGGGAGAAATCAGAGAAACCTTCACTTAAGAGTTTCTTGGATTTCCGTTTACAAGAAGGCGATTTGGAACGAGAGGAGATGGAGTACAGTCAATACAGGAATGAACTAAACACCATTCTCAATTATCATGCTGAAGCGCCGGAAACTAGAGAAGAAATGCAACAGCTGTTAAGGAATTTCCAGGTAAATATATTTTATTTAGGTTATACTGTCACCGACTACCTTGCTGGTTGCGTGCTGGCAGTAGGAAAGGTCACGTGCTTGTTGGTGAGCAGTATTGTAAATAGTATGTTAGTATCTGTACTCACCAACTACCCTACTGGTCATGTGCTGGCAGTGGAAAAGGTTACGTGCTTGTTGGTTAGTGTACAGTGTTGGTGGACTACCTTGTGGGTTGCGTGCTCATAGAGGAAAGGTTGCGTGCTTGTCCATAAGTCATGTTTCTAAAGTTTTGTCACATTTTCTTTACATATGAGATGATTATTAATTATCATTTAATTTGATCTTTGTAAGGACAAAAAAAAATCAAAGGAAGTAAATAGTTTTTGGAATCTGCAGGCTAAGCAACAAAACATTCATATGAACCTTAAATTGGTTGAGAAAAGAAGGAAGTTGCTTGAGAAGGAACAAGTAAGTTTTTCAAAATGAGTGGCTTTTGCTTTTTCTATACTTTCTATACCTTCTAACAAACGTTGTTTAAATGAAGGATGAATTGAAGGACCAGATTTGTCTCGAACAGGTTAGTATATTATCTCTACTCTTAATCTTGTGGTTATAATGCCTAAATGTTCATTTCATTTTAGACTCGACATGTTTTGGATGCATCGATAGAAACCCGGAATCAGTGTCTTTCGGTACAAAAAACATTTACCAGAAAGCATCTGTTGAATGAGTCTAGTGAGCGTACCTATAAGGAGTCAGTAATTATCAGTTCTTCAAAGTTGATTAATTGCATAACTTTTTTTTTGATTTGATATATTGTCTTGTTTGTATTTACAAACTTTGCATGAATTTACTGCTATAATTAAAGCAACATCAAACTAAACACGGAAGAAATATCCCAATTATTGCAAATCTGATGAACCAGAATATGAACCCAAGAGGATAAGAAAAGAAAGTAATACCTATTATTTACAGGTAATAACAGAATCTTAGCAATATGTCACACTGTACTTAACACTACCGATGACGGAAGTCGCTGAATCCTCAAGCACAAATTCGGATTTGGAGAGTTTAAACAGATCCAAGATATCGTAATTATTTATTTTTTTCCAGATTTTCCAGAATATATTTATAGGTATAAATTATCCAATTCTAACCTACTTTTGAAAACTATCAAGAATACAAGCACATATGTTTGTGATGACTCTAGTTCTTGTGAAATCATGCCATGTCCAAGTCCAACTTGTTCAGTCACAAATACTTTAATAAGGATGCCTAATAAGCCAATTATTATGAAGGCTACTTATAATGAATATTCTTCTGCACATATAATATGTGCTTTCAATTCAACGATTCATCTTGTCAAGGCAACTATTGGAGAACAAATGTATGAAAAAGTTATAAGTATGCTCCAGATAGGAAACAAATTGGTTATGAATGATTCAATACTCAAAAAGATCAATAACATATTCAATAACATCTTTCAATTAAATTATTCTGAAATCGAATCTAAAATAATTTCAGAAACAAAAATTGATGATAAACAACAAATGAGGATAGGTTTATATTCTTCATATGATATGTGTTACTAGATTTTGCCTCAAAGTTTAAGTTTATGATGCCAAAAGTTTTGGATCATGATATGCTTGAACGATCTTATATTGTTGAAGTTCTGTCACCAATTTTTCTCACATTTCGCAAAGCATTTCCTAATGTAAAATATATGTGGGTAGAAAAGGATGTAAGGTCCATAAAAGAGGTGAATATCATGTTTACAAGTAATTTTGGAAAACAAAAAACAGATTTACTCATTCTTAGATTGTCAGATGCAAGAGAGCTTTTGAATGTTGAAGTGTCTGGACCTACTTACAAATCTATGAAAAAACACATGGTTGGTGATGTTAAAAAGCTATTAATGATGGCTATTTGTAGTTTATGTCGACTTCTTGGTAATAACCTTGATTGCAACATTGGAGACATCTAGAATGTTAAAACTTACAACATTCAAGTTATAGGAGATCGACTTATGTTATTTGCTGTTTCTAAAGAAATATTTGGCTGTTGAATTGGCCTCCTGTATAATTTCATTTTCTTTTGACGCTATCACATGTTACATGAAGATTTTTAATTTTTTTGCAGTTCTTCGAAATGAATTCATAGAACAAGAAAGATTACAAAGGAAAATTCGTTCCTTTATTCCAGTTGATGATTGTACTGAAAATCTAAGGGAACAGTTACATCTACCAGATGATGATATTTCACTTGTTACTGAAGAAGATATGGATGAAATATTTCTTTGATGTGAGATTCTATTTTATTGTATATTGCGATCTTTATCATTTACAACAAAAATGGTGTTGTTGAATTATTTGTAATTTCTTATGTAAAATAATTTATTTGTCGCTGTAATATGTAACCATTAATAAAGTATTTTTAGTCTGCGTACAATTTTGATTTATGTGATATGGTAGTGTACATTGGAAATCAAAAAAATAAAAACAGTCTTTAAGCCCTTCTCACACAGCTCATATTTTTGTAAAAAAATTTCAACCATGACTTAATAAAACCCCAATAGTAACTGTGAACGATGCGAGAAATTCCGTCATATGGAATCAGAAACGACCCTAGCGTCACCCACAAAAGATGATAGCTGGACAGATCTGCCGGGTACATGTAACGAATAAAAAAATTTTCTTCTACCATCGTTACTGCTGTGCTATTATTGCTTAAAATTTTATGGATTTTGCTTATAGTTTTATTCTACTTTATATTTATTTGAAGTTTTTTTCTTTGATTATTAGAACATTTAAATCAATTTTTTTTATAACGATAAGTCGTTCTTTTACTATTCAGATCAACAACCTGCACAGATGCCATAATATTCAAAATAATGAAGATTTTTTTTGAATGAAAAAGGAATCAAAGTAAAAAATGTTTACAATGCTGAAACCAGATTAAATTATCATGTTCAAAGAATAATCAAGAACAATCTGACACGACAATTATAAAATTTTATCTTGCAAAAAAATTTATCTAAAGTTCAAATATTTTTAGAGCGATAGTAATAATGAAATAAATATAACAATTTATTTTAACATCTTGAATATTTTTTTAGTAATTTAAATAAATTATCATCCATTATGGCCTTTGGATTATTGGCTTAGTCTCATAAACACTTTTTATAGTATTAAATGAAGCACAGAAAAATAATAAACAAATGCATGAATTTGCCTACAAATATAACCAAAAGAAAACGTGCAAACATTTATTCATTAAAAAAATTCTTTTGAAAAACTTAGAGACCATGTTTATTGTTTGATAACAATTGAATTGTCCATAATCAAGTCCGAATCACATAATAACATGTACCCGGCAGATCTGTCCGGCTACCATTTTTTGCAGGTAGGCAGAAGTTTGACTGATTGGCTAATAAATTCAATTTAATTTTACATTATTTATACAGTTTAGAGTACTTTTTTATAAAACGAAAACTAATCATAATGAATTAATAGGTTTCATTAGAGCTGTAATATTCCATAGTCAAAAATAAGATCTAATTCTCGTCCGTTTAAAAAATTAGCTTATTAATAAGTTGATTTTATCGGGTTTTGAGAAGGTATTACTATACTAACTTTTTTAAACGGACGAGAATTAGATCTTATTTTTGGCTATGGAGTCTTACAGCTCTAATGAAACCTTATGTATAGCATTTTTTATTTTATTATGATTAGTTTTCATTTTTTTAAAAAAGTACTCTAAATTGTATAAATAATGTAAAATTAAATCGAATTTATTAACCAATCAGACAAACTTCTACCTATGATGTCGTTGCCACATATAGGATAACTTTCTTCTGATTGGTCAATCACTTACAGTTGTATTTATACAGTTTAACAAAATGGCCAATAAATCAGATATCAAAATATCATAAACGAATATCTTAATAATCAAAATTCTCGGTGAATAAAGCTGGTACCTAAGAAAAATTCAGGATAATCAATTCATTGTAATAGTATGATTTTTCATTTACCATTTTATTTATCTCTACTGAACGAATACTGTATCAATTTGACAATCGATAAGATCATTACGTATTTGAACATTGGCATGCTTTTTGAATACTTCCATATCCATAACCATGCGACATTTACGCGGATAGAGCTCCACGGTTTCACAATGAACACATTCATTAGTTTTCCCATCTAGTACGAAAATTGAAAAAAGAGATTACAAATTTAATGAAACATTTCAATTCAGAACTTAATCAAAAAACAAATTACCTTGCCCTGTGAAATGGACTTGCTTCTTTAACTATCTATGTAAATCATTAGATATTAAAAATCTATTGATAATAATGCAATAATGACAATGGTTTGAGCCCTTTATATAAAAATTTAAATTAATTATAACATTATAGTTGGATAAAATGCAAACATTAGATCCGTATTAAATTTACCTATGAGCATCCAATACTTTGTCTAAATGTATATTTGATACGTACAACATCACCGTATATGAATTAATTAACTGTTTTTTGCATCTAATTTTCTCAGTGCATCTCCAACTGCACGCGCTTCAGGTGTTATAATAGTAATTATTTTTATTGGAGAATATGATCGACTTAATTTTGACTTTCTGGATTAAAAATTATAATCTTTTATTATTTCAAAGTGTTTTCTACAAAATAGATATGCCTCTTGCACACCAGCAACTGCAAGAAGTTCTAAGGTATATTCAATGAGTGGTACACTACAAGGTTATAATAGTGTAGAGTATGAAATAATCCCTAATAACTGAAAAATCATACTCGTGGCCTATCAAGGACTATGGGACAGAATCGTTCATTAAAGCTATCAACGTACTTTCGGATTTCAAATTTTTGTCAGAAGTGGCATTTCGGGTGATAGCTAAATCGTTTACTGATTATCTACTTTAATAAAATTATCCATAATTTTTGTATCTAGCCAATTACAGCTGTTTTCATAAATTCCGATCGAATATTTGTTAGATTTTCCAGATTTAGAAACATGACCGGCCATAATTTCTATCGGCTAATTTTTTACCGCATTTAACAATACAAGTCGACCAATATTTCGACTTCGA